AACTATCTCGTATTGTCCAAAATTAATAGAATCTCTTTTAATCTCTTTTAAAAAATTAAAAAAATACTTACGTAAGTAGGAACCATCCAAATCTTTAAACTCGCATCTTTGCCCGATAAATCCATGGGCGCATCTGTAACAAAAGATCACAAATATGCTTCATTAAGACGTTATCCAAATATCATATATATACATAAATATCATTCACATCAGTATATATGAATATGATTTGCGCGTTTTATCATTTCACTTTTCTCCCCTTTAATTCGAATAACGGAAAGCGAAATCTATAAGTGTGCTATTCAAGTCCTATCTGTTTTTACTACCGGTATTTATCAGATATATATATTAATATTAAAAAATTGTAAATTAATAAATATTTAACTAAGTTTAATTACACATAAAAAGATTTAAACAATTTTTTATCGGATAAATTAGTTTACCGAATGTGCGATTATATAATTAATAACATATATTATAAAATTAAAAACATTCTCATAATCAAATTTATTAAATGATATTAAAAACTTCGCCAATTTGCAATATATTAATTGCAATATTTTTTGGTGCTCGATACAAATTTCTTTTTATTAGTACTTATAAAGAATCAATTGTAATTATTGCATTATATAACAATACATATTGTAATTATTGCATTATATAACAATTATATTATTCACATATATATCTAAACAATTGCTATATCTATAATTCTTCACTGATATCCTTGTTCGCAGTTTACAAGTCTTTATTGCCAAACTGTATTAAATGAAATCTGTTATGGCGCTTAAAAATTTATGTGAAGATGTGACCGTTAAATTAATATTAATTAATGTAATAAGTTGGACACTACAAGCTCAAGATGAGAGGCGATTCGATTCAAGCGGCAGATCGCGGTCGACAAAGCAAACACCGTGGGAAATGGTAAGGTTGAGTGAACACGATGTGCTCTGCACTCCTTGATGCTATTCCAATATTAATCCGATTACTTCTCTCTTCGATAGACCCCCTTCTCCTTTCGGAATATTTAAATTTAGGGAAACTCAATATTAATCCCGCAGATACACCCAATTGTTAACAAACAATTATCGTATTCGGAAAAGAAAAAAAAAAAAGAGAAATCGTTGATAGACTTTGGAAAGTATTGGCAGCGTTCGAGGGAAAACCGAACAGGAATCGACAGGAATTTTCAGCGTACGTGTCGAGATCACGTAGATCACAGATCAACGGCTAAACGATGCGAGTGGTTGCCGTTGATGGCTCTCCCTTGGTGGCTTTTTCACCCGCTTCACGATTGTTCGTGGCTGCGTCACACAATAATAAAGGCGTCCGTCGGAGAGGCCGTGCCACAATACTCGTCCTGTACGTGTTCTCGCATAAATGTCGAGACATTCTCAAAAATTTCGAATGTTATGTCATAGTCTGTGGAAATTTCTACTGCTCGAAAAATCTGATGGAATTTTAACATGAATTTACTGTCGGTCGGTGCGTTATTCGCATAGTCTACAGAAGATTAGTCATACTTACAAACAATTGTATAGAAGGGAGTCGACAATTTTTACGGTAAAACACGTGGCACCGTTCAAGCAGTACCATTCTGCATAATCCTGTGGACACGTGTACATGTGGAATGTGACATTCGGCCGATCCGTCGACGCTGGCGGCCTTGGTTTCGGGGTTGAACGCGACGAGCAAGCATCTGTAATGAAATATATAATAATTATGAGATCTTTGCTTTGTACATTTTTATCATATCGCATCATATCGTCTTTTTTGCGTATTAAGGATATGTTATATCTATCTTTATAATTTTTATATTTAGAATAAAAAATTATAAAAAACTTATAGATTATTTTAAATCACATTAAAAAAAAATACAAAAAAATTAAATGCCGATTTAAAACCTGGATAAAAAATTATTTAAATAAATAAGTAGAATTGTGCTCTGAAAATATAATTAAGAAATAATGACAAAATTCATTCATTTTTCATATAAGTACTTTAAATATTCAAGATTATTTATATAAAATTTCTTTGCGTTGTTTTGTAAATAAAAATTAAATATATCCTTAAACAATACACAAAAAAGAATTTCAGATTGACAATTTTAAATTTATTTACTTTAAATTATCGATAAATATTTTACAATTTATTTCTATTCATTATTATTATTAATATATATTCGATCTAACTTTGTTATTAAGTAAAGATGTGCGAATACCAAATTAAATTGAATCTTATTTTTTTTAAATTTAAATCGAATCGTCGAAATAATTTTCAATTAATTATTATAAAGCCGAATTCAGAATAAAGATGATAAATAAAATAAAATGCTTTTATAAAATTGTCAATATACATGAGATTTTTATTCAAATCTCGCGAATTCCAAATTTTTTTAATTCAGATCATAGAGCTCCATATCTCGAATGGAATTTCATTCGATTCGATTCGATTTATATTTGACTAGTTCGCACGTCTCTATTAAGTACCCATGAAGAAATGTCCATTTCACATTCCACACGGATGATCAGCTGTGTCGGAGATAATTAACGACTAGTGATTCTATATAAATCTTTAATGCTATTATTACGGAACGAGAGGGCGAGCGAATGAGCGGATAAACTCCAAAGCGCCTTAGGAATTTCGTCGGTTTTTCCAGAATCATTGTGAACACACGATGAATGACGGCGGAGTGCCTCGTTTTTCTCTCGCTCTACTCGCACCCCCGCTTTTTCTCCAAACATCCACGCACGGCGGCACCGGTGCGGCAGCTCAGAGGCCACCCTGGCGAGAAGGAGAAGGTGGAGGGGGGGCTGGAGAGCGCGTGCATCTCGCAGGCGCGAGACTGTACACAAAGCTGCAAAGTACAGCCGAGGCGGCAATGGTTGCATCTGTCCCGCGCGTTAGCTGCTGTCTGTCACCTGTTGTAATTTTACAATCTGCCGCGTGTTTCCACACCCCGGCAACACTCCACGCTCTATATGCTCCAGCAGTTTATCGAGCAGGCGCGGTATTGTATCTCTTTCTTCACCGGCGGGATAAATTTCGACCCCCTACTCATGGATGGATTTCAGTTGTTTCACAAGTTTCACAACTGAAAATCATATCTCGGAGGAAAATGCTTCGCAATGGAGAAACATCTCGTCGCGCCGTCGCGTCGTTAATTCGCGTTAATTAATCGGTTGGCGAGATTGCCGATCCATATTAATGCGGTCCGTAATCCGCTTGATCTTTACGTTGTATCGAGAGAGAGAGAGAGAGAGAGAGAGAGAGAGAGAGACGTGAGACCCCGCAGATGTGTACGGGGAGGGGGGATGATAAGCGCGTTTGACTTTGGCGTACGCCAAAGTTGGCGGGCCGTCTTTGTAATTGTAGAACGATGCCGAGAGGCGTGAGGAACAGGGAAACGGATAACGATACTTCACGTCGATTATCTCGACGGTTTCGCGTCGGGACCAGGTGCAACGTGACGCGCAAGTATTACACACATTTGCTCGTATCGTCTGGCGTAAGTCGCGTATAAAATGAGCGCTTTGTCGCGAGGGCGAAGCCTTCATTTGGCACGAAAACATTTCGTACGACAGTACGTTTTATACGCCATAAAAAATATAAAAAAAAAAAGAAAAGAAAGAAAGAAAATTAAAAAAATGAGGCGGGGAGAGAGGGAGGGAAGAAGAGGGAAGAGAAAAGGAGGAAAGGAGGGGGAATAACAGATTGTAAGATTGTGGTGCAATGAGCGTAACAAGTGGTAAAGAAGCAACACGGGCGACTGATTCACACCGTATAATGCGAAACGATAATTTGCTCTCTTAAGTGTACGCTATTTTCATGGGCGTTTCTCTTTCTTTTTCCGCCGTTGTTCTCAATAATACGAGGACCGCCAAATTGCAAGGTGGCTTGTAAATAACGAAGTTTAATTGTAATTGTGTTTTTTAAGGATATATCCTGTAAAATGGAATTCACGTTCAAACGTTTGTGAGTATTGCAATATGAGTTAATCGCAATGCCAATACTAACCTGCTATGCCGAAGAGGGTGTAGGAGAGAAATAGTATAGTCGTAATGTATGGTGGAATTTTGCATCCTCTCGCCATGGCAGTGACGACAGACGAGTTAGCGACGGTGGTAGCGGCGGTGGTTGTGATAGGCGAGGTTCGTACGAGAGGATGAACAGTCGTCGTCTCGGTTCGATGGACTTCAATATGATCGACGTTGACTTCGGCGTCGACGTCGCCGTTTCTGCAAGATCGTTGATCGTAAAATCGATGAAGGCGAGGATGGAGACGCTTGAGACACATCTTGCTGTCGTTGTTATCGTCATCGTCGTTGTCATCGTCGTTGTCGTCGTTACCGTCGCTTTCGTCGTTGTCGTTATCGCCGTCATTGTTGCCGTTGCTGCCATCGTCGTTATCGTCACCATCCTCGTCGTTGTCGCGTTCGTCATCGTCGTCATTCACGTCACTCTCGTCCATCTGATCATCGCCGCTATCGCTGTTGTTATTCGCGTCGTCCCTTCGATGATGATACCGTCGATGTGACGACGGATGACGATGACTACGGTAACGAAGATGGTGGAAATAAGGTTGTGGCGAACGATAGTGGCGAGTGTCGCCGCTGTCGTCACAGAAAGCTTTGCTCTTTGCCACCGACGAGCTAATCTCCTCGATTAGTATCCCGTCCGTCTCGCATCCTCTATCGTTGACCTTTCCTTCTTGCGTTTCCTCGGCAGCATGGACGGCACCACCTGGGCCTGAACTCCGGCGCACGTGCCGCCGCTTCCCTGAAACCAGATACCCGCCCCGGGCTGCCGTTTATAGTGTGTTTTATCTCGGGTGAAGACTTTGGGATCTAGCGAGCCCCGAAGCACCGGGCCCGCCAGGCCTACCGCCGGGCTCACCAGGCCCCCGATGGAACGGCTGTTGGACCATGGAGCCACGCTGGATTTAGTTTTCAATGTAAAGCGCGATGTAAAGCCCCTTTCGATTCGACATGTTCGTGACAGCAGCTTTTACCCGTTTTCGCCGCACAGACTCTTTTTGAGAAAAAGATTACGCAGAAAAGCGAAGGCGCGTCACTATTTTGCATCTCTTTCTGTTCAGACATAATTGATTAATCGATGCAATTATTGTAACTGGCTGCGTTTCGATGTTCAGTACTGAAAATATATAGTTCGTATCGGATATATTATAGATTTTCAGTACTGCATTTTCAATGAATATCGGAGTGCAGTTATCGTCATAAATTTATAATTTAACATGAAATAACTTTTCTTCAAACTTGAGAAACGAAATAATTATTTCTTCAAATTTTCGAAACGCTGAGTAAAATTTCAAAGTTCAATATTTTGAATTTATTACAATTTTCGAATTAATCTTGAAAACGACTACTTTATTAAGCTGCGATATTTAACGTTAGGAAAGTTTTATTTTCAAAATTCAATATATTGCTAGAATTTTCTATATTTCCTCAAAATATTTAAATAAAGATAAAAATTACTAAAATTTGAGTTGAAATGTTGAGTTTATATTATGAGAAAAATATAAATTACACACACGCATACGTATAAATATGCACACACATTGATTCTGTATTGAACATGCAATGTATATGAGAATATATTTGTTGCTATAAAGATGTGTGTGTGTGTGTGTGTGTGTGTGTGTGTGTGTGTGTGTGTGTGTGTGTGTGTGTGTGTGTGTGTGTGTGTGTGTGTGTGTGTGTGTGTGTGTGTGTGTGTGTGTGATATATATGTAATATACATGAATGTACATACATTGTATGTGCAATATATATTCTAAAGTTTCGTGCAATAAATCTTGAAAATAAGCCACAGATTTCTTCAAAAAAATCATTGACGATGATGAGCTACAAAACTTTTATGGAATTTGACACAAGCCATACAAAGTACAAGCTGTACAAAGTAACGCATAAAATTAATTTATTAGCTATTTTTCATTGGCTATAAGTAACCGAGAAAATGAAAAAGTGGAAGTGCTTTTTGTACGAAATAGAAAAAACTCTTTACAATGTGAAAAAAAAAATGGATTTTACAATCATCAATAATCTGTTAAAGTGACAATAAAATATATTATTATGAAAAATCATGTACGGAATAACCTGCGTTGATCTATAGATATTATGTTTTACTATTTCATAACAATGCTGGACCACCACTGTGGGTTGTTGGCGAAAACGCATTTTCTCACGTACGTCTAAATTTCTACACGTGATTTTAACAACGTCCCAAGTTCATAAGAATACAAGGATGCGTTCCGTTTGTCAAATGACTGGAATTCACATGAAAATGCGTCCCCGGTTAAAACTATCTTAACAATTAACACGTGATATTGAAAGTCAGTTACTATATTATATTGTATATATATATTTTTCAAGTCTGGAATTGTTTTCCTAACCTATTAATTTGTGCCCACAATATAGTAACTGCAGCCGCAGTAACGCGGTAAATAAATAAATAAATCAGATTCATAAAAGAACCTTCAGATTCATGAAAAGATCTGCAAATATGAATTCTGCCGTGTCATCTAAGAATTGCAATTAGGTAGAAAAGAAGTAATCAGATCTGGAGGAGCGCTGGCGACGCACCTTTTCTCCGGGGAAGAACCTTATCGCACACCCGTGTTTTTATCATGATTCATCCAAGTTTAATTTCCGACGGACGATACGGACTGTGACTATTCATGATATGCATGAGTGCGAAATCCTACGTCAAGTATGACGTCAATCGCCGTTCAAATATTCAATCGCAACTAGTCACCGTATCGACACTTTTTTTACGTTTCTCTCAAGGCCCAATGCCAATCGATGCTCGATCGAAAGCAATCAGGAGAGACGTCTTGACATCGTCGTGCACATTATAAATGAAATGCGCGAGAAACATCCGGTATGCAATTGCGAATACACCTATTGCCGTAACGTCGCGTTATCTCGAGTCTTTATTCTATGATCCGAAATAGTTTCTCACGGAGGAGGACGAACAAAACGAACGAAAACGGTGCATTTATACGCAACGTTACAGTTTTCTCTCGCGAAACAAGAGTACAAACCGCTTACTCGGGGGAAATAGATGGTGGCAATGAAGAGACGGAGACAAAGATAGCGAAAATAAAGCGTGCTGCCCTAACCAGTAGTGTGACTTTAAGTGCAACCCACGTTCCTTCTAATAATTGTCCATTTCCCTGCTGGCTGTGCGTCGTCTCTCGAGCTTAAGTTTCTATTCGTTTCAACCGACCGGTGAAATAATTCTTAATGCGAATCGCGAATCGCCTTGAATTTAGGTTATTTTCTAATTGTATGCTTCTCACCGTAACGTCCGCTTAGGCTCGCAGCAGACACGCGCGCTCCGACCACGAGCCGAGAATATTATTTTATTGTGTGAATAATGTGACTTTCATTTTTGCAAAAACACTTTGTAGTATTCATTCTAGAAGTTAGAAACTTGGAATTTAAAGGTAAAGTGATAACGTGAATCAATCGAAGGTATCAACAAAAATAGAGAAAAATCTGCTGAAATTTCTCTGTCTTTATTAATTTCAATATTAATAATCGATAAAAAAATGCGATTAAATTTAACGTAAGTTAAATAAAGATCGACATTATTATTAACCATTAAAACTTTTAGTTCTTGCCTCTCGTTTTTATCTTTCTTTTCGAGATACTGCTGCTCCTTCATTGTATATATTATTATTATTATTATTAGTCTTTTCGATACAATTACTGTCAAAAAAAGGGAGAAGAAATCATCTAAAGATAGAAAAAAAAAAAGATAAAAAAATTATTAAAATAAGAAGAAAGAATGGCAGCAAATAAAAACTAAGAATTTTCAAAATACAAAATAAAAAAAATAAATTAATAACATAATAATTGCAATAATACAAAATCTAAATACAATGATTAAAGTTTAATAATTTAATTGAATTGTTATATATATATATATATATATATATATATATATATATGGGTACCGATATCAATTGCCACTCATAAAAATCTTATTTTTTTTTTGGTCAATAGAATAACATTGTTCGTGAAATGACTCACTAAAAAATCATTGACAATTGGCAGGTTGAATGTGTGCGAGTAATTTTCGGTTACATATTGTTCCCCGTTGTCTTCTGTTACATCAAAAAATTCTTTTCAAGGCTCGCAGATTGATCACTTCGAATTTTTCAGGTTTCTCAATGTCTTCACATTTTCTTCGCTGTCCAAGCCCATAAAGATTATGCAGAGATGCACCCCGACAAAACGAAGAAAAAAAAACAAAACAAGAAAAAAAAATGCATAAAATCCTGCGAAACTAATTCATTTTAAATTGTATAAACTAGACACATTCCCCATTCATGACAAAGCTGCGGTGTTTGTGACTATTCACGTACAACATTGTTCTACTGCCAAAGTGAGAGTTTTATGAGTAAACTGGACCCACCAGACCCATTTTCTGATTTTTCAGAATTCACTTATTTAGCCATCCAATTTTGGTTAGATTTCTTCATATTTTATCTCACACTATCTATATCTATGTAAAGTTTCACGATTGGTTTTGTACTACAAAATTTTCCCAATTTTACATATTTCTTTTCTTTTTAATTGAAATTGGCCATAAGAATAGCATATTTTTATTGCTTCTTCTCTTAGTATGTTTTATATTTATGTTTTATATTAGAGTTTTACATATGCCACACGTCAATAAAGTTGACATTATTATTCTTACAGTCATCATCAGTTTGCCATCATATATTCATTTCAATTGATAAAATCGTATGACCAGTTGTAGTTATAATAAAATATTAAATTATCTGAAAATGCGTAATGTATAGAATTGCATCATCAATGCAAATATTGTATCGCGCATATTATATCGCCCGGATCATCGGATGGATCCGGGGCGATCCTGAAAATCCTTAAAAGCAGTACATATGTACTGAAATCTTGAGCGTGCCTCTAGTCATGTGTCCTCTGAAAGCTGCAACTTACCCCGACTGACTGAAGGAAGAAGGGGAAGCGGAAATTTTCCGGATAGAGAAGGGTCCCGAATCTAACAGCGAGACCGGTCCGCCACCATCTGCGACTTGTCTAAACACGGAAATTCATAAGTTCCGAGAAATATGTGTCGACGAAAGAAATGAGAAAACATTTCTGCTTATCGCACTTGATTCGCGCGGACTTCATCAAGCTCCGACTTAATAAGAATCCGAAGTTCCGATAAAAATTTACGCGCAATGGTAAGAGGTACGGGTATATCGCAGTTTGCGAAGTAGAAAAAAGAACGCGCAGCCGGTTTTTGCCAGGTGGCTGACGGATCTAATGTCTAACGATATCATCGACAGAAATCATTGGATCGGAAATGATCCGTAATCGCCGTTCAGTTATTATCGTCTTTCATATGCTATGTTAAAGCCGCATTCCAATCGATCATTAGTCACGTGAGTCGAAAAAAATGTTTACATTTTTTTCACAACATTAGATTTTTGATTTCCAAATTAAACAGATTACATATTATCGTAATGGAAACTTATAATCTGGAAAAGAGGAGGATCATACTTTTATGTCGAAAGTTTTCGAAGACCCTCCAAATCTCTCTCTCTCTCTCTCTCTC